ACTAGACTAGGCTTGTCTCCCAGGACGGGAGAACTCGACGTAAAAGAAGCACGAACTTCATGTTTTCTCTGCCCGGGCTTGGAGTCGAGGGCTAAAAAAATAACAGTTTAACAACCCAAGACAAGCTACAAAAACAAAAAATAATCAAGAAGGGTTGACGCGACAAGGACATATCGCCCCGTCGACCAGAAAAAAATAGAGTTTAACAATTGACCCCCACCGCTCGTACGCAATAAATATACGAAAACCCCTCCATATGCAGTCGAAAAATGAAATTGAGTCCCCCCCCCTTCTTCTCTGTAGACAATAAACATCATTCTCGATTCGACGCATGGCGTATCTCTCGCCATCTCTTAAGCACGCTACAGCATCCACGATTGCGTAGTCTTAAATACATTTATTCTTTATTTTGCCAAAAAGGCAGAACAAAACATGTATCCCCCCTAACGTTGTTTCTAGGTCGCGTGCATACGTGGCAGCTGGATACAGTTGTGAAAACCCGAAAAAAAATAAAGGCGAAAACCAATAGTAGCAGGGGCAGCGAGCGAGGCAACCAACCAAGCCAAGCCGCGTCTCTGCGAAAAGTACGACGCAAGCACAACAAGCGCTTGCAACTCCCCACGCCCGGGCAACCAATACCTTAGGCAAATACCGTATCGTCTAGTTCCAGCCGCATAGGTGACATGAAAGGTTTCCCGCCGAACAGCCGTGAGTATCGACTGACCGGTACTACGTGAGGTATCTCTACCTCCAACAACGTTATTTTCTGCAATACCCTGGTATTTTCCGGGAGTCGTGGGGTTCAACAGCACGATAGATATCGACTGACCTCCTAAATGTTGGTAAAAACTGCATTATCATCATCCATCGAAAGATACACCATCATCAAATCATCCAGCCACGGAAAATACGAAGAACACATTTTCGGGGAGGGAGTTTTTCGCCAAATTCATTCTCCCCTGCCCTCCCAGCATTCAGGTGTTCCTGATCGACGTGTCGGATGGATGCGTGTGATCTGCTCGCTTTCCCAGCTGGCTTCGTTCGCTATCGAACACAGACCCACAGCAGCAGCCATTACGAACACAACACACAACAAACAGGCGGAGCATAAGCATGCTTGCATCTCGCACCCCCCCCCCCCCCCACTCCGCCTCCCCGTCCAAATCGGAAAACCCTCATTTCCCCAAAATACACGAAAAACACAAACAAACGCACCTCGCTCTGCCAGGCACGACTTCTCGTGCGCGCTACACACGCATGCGAGTGGAGGGGAGCCCAACCCCTGATATGAAAACGCTAACGTGTAGAGAAGAAAGCAGAACGACACGACCAGCACGCGGTGGACGTGCTCGTGGTCGCTGGGTGGTGGGTGTCCCCGCCTCTTCACCCGGCCCCGGTTGTTGGAGACCACAGGTATCAGACCCGCCGATGTCGATTTTCTCAAAACCTGGACAAGCGGAGATAAAAAAAAAAAACATCCGGCGGGCGGGGACACATGGCACACCGATTGGGTGGAGGTGGAAGGGGGTTCAGGAATAGCCACGACATGCGAAGAGCGAAAGGGAGTGGGATTCTTGCGTGGATACATAGTAATTAAGACGACGCGGACGGAAACAAATCCGAGTGCTGCACTGCTTCCGCCGCCGGTAGAATAATGCTTCGGTTAGAGAGACACTGTCACTGAACGACCGCCGGAATCGAAAGAGGAACGAACACAAAGCAAGGACCCTCCGGGAAACGTTTATACACGGCGTTCGCGTGTTGTGTCGAATAATTAGTATTGTTGTACGTTTTTTGCCGGTTGTCTGCGTGCTTCGGGGCAAAAACACAACAGCGCCAGGTTTTCGGACTTTCTTCGTCTCATCCGAACGACAACCAGAGAGGACCGGCGTGGACAAAGCAGCAAAGACGAGAGCCGCAGCTCTCTTCCAGCTAGCAACGCTACCAACATGCACCGCTGTCCCGCAAGTCCACAACGCAAGCGTTCCGTGTGGGTTCCTCGTCCTAGCCTACCTTTTTCGCACTCAAACGTGTATACTGTATCAGCCTTGAAGTCGGTGTTTTTCTTATTGTAGAACCCCCATTCCCACATCCTCGCCTTTCCCTCCCTCTCTCACCTCAACACCGCCTAGGCAGGAATGGTTTCTTCCTACGAAGCCGCCGCCATGTTGCCCCCCGTGGTGCTAACCCGGATCAGGTACTCCGCGAGCTGCACCTCCTCGGCGGTGCCGGTGATCTTGACCGTCTTGAGGGAGTTGGGGCCCGCTGTCCCGCCGCCGCCGCCGCCGCCCGCCGCCAGGCCACCGCTTACGTGCCCGACGGCGGAAGCGAGGGACGGAGAAACGCCGTTGCCGCCGCCGCCGCCGCTGTTGGTGGTATCCAGAACCAGGCGCGAGACCCCGCCGGTCACTGCCGCAATAGCACCCGGGGTGGTCGCCGCACCGTCGCTCATGTTTCCCCTAACCCCCTCCCTCAGCCTGAACCCCTCGAAAGGCGAAGAGGTCGAAGCGGAAGACGATGACCCCGACGACATGGACCCTCCTCGGCCGACTCCCGCCGCCGTTACCCTCGGAGGCGGCCCCGCCCCCGCCGCCTTGTTGGACGCGGCGGCGGCAGCGGCAGCGGCGGCATTTGCCGCGGCGAGGCCGACCCCGTCGCACGGCGCGTTGCCCCTCGCCGCGGAGCTGTAGACCGCGCCCATCGCCGCCGCGGCCTCGTCCGAGAGGTGGTAGTACCCCTCGGGGGACTCGGGCGCGCTTATCCCGGCCCCGGAGAGGTCCTTGATGTCGTCGAGTCCTCGCTCGCCAAGCCGGGCGAACGCCGAGCGGCCGACCTCCATCTCGATGCCCGTGATGGTCGATGGGCTCCGCAGGGGCGGGGCCGCGCCGTTGTTGTTGCCGCTCTTTTCGTTGGCGTTGTTGTTGCCCGCGCTTCCGCCGCTGCCGCTGCGGATGCTGTTGCCATCGGAGACGTAGGATTTTCCTCCTCCTCCCAAGAAGGAGTCCAGGATCCCCACGAGGCACGAGGGAAGCTCGCCGTCGTCGGAAACGCCTCCGTTGCCGGTACCGTTGCCGCTCATGTTGCCGAGCATCCCGCCCCGGTGCAGGGCTCCGGCCCCGCCGCCGCTGCGCCCCCCGCCGCCGGAGTCCAACACCATCGCCGCCGCTCCGCCGCCCCCAATGCCCGAGGACGAGGAAGACCGCCCCCGGGTGAGCAACGGGCGATCCATGCCTCCGCCGCCGTTCATGTCGGCCGCGCCGATTGTAGCCGGGGCCCCGAAGTCCTCGACGGATCCAGCGCTGCCGCGAGGCGAGTCCCTGGACACGGACACGGACGAGGACAGGAGCGGGGTGCTGGTGCCGCTGCCGCGCCCCCCCGAGCTCTCGCGCGACAGCAGCTCGCCGCACATCACCGCCGCCGCCGCTGGC